AAATAAATGTTTCCAAAAATAAGTAGAATTCTCAGAAGGTAATTTAGAAAGGTTGACTCTCTGACTTTGAACCCTCAAAATAAAAGTTAGTTTGGGTAAGAATCATTAAGTACTTTGATGGAGCAAAATATTTGCATGGTCTCTAAGTGTATGCCCACAGACTGCTTACTGCTTGTAATGGTAAAGAGAGTAACCATACAATGGAGAAATTGAACATCTTCACCTGGTGATCAAAATTAACATCACTAAAGAGATGCTGATGGACAATGTGTTTTCAGATTTAATTCCCCAAGGAAACATCACTCCTGCGGCATTTCAGGCAGGATGTGTAACCTGAAGCTAATCATAGGGAACCATCATGAGGAATATTCTATAAAATAACTGGCCTATATTCTCCAAAAATGTTAACATCATAAAAGACAAAGGCTGGAGAACTGTTTCAGGTTAGAGAAAATTAAAAAGGCAACATTCATCCCTGAACCGGATTCTGTACAGGAGGGGAGCGGGGGAAATACAAAAAAAGAAAATCATTGATAAAACTGAAGCATAAACTATATTAGACAAAAATATTCATCAATGTTAAGTTTCCTGAATTTGCTAATTGTGCTGTAGTTGTATAACAGAATAACCTTGTTCTGTGGCATTACATACTGACATATAAGGGTCATGATATATGTGCAACCTAAGCCCAAACAGTTCCAAAAAAATAAATTTTATATAACTATATGTATATACAGATTGACAGACAGAGGGAATGAATAATGATAATGTGTCAAAATGTTAAGTTAATAAATGGAGTATGTAAGAGTTCACTATAGTATTCTTGTAACTTTATGTAAATTTGAAATTATTTCAAAGAAAGCAAAAAGAACAGCTTATCCAAATTTGGCCTGTTTAAATGAAAATCCATTTACAAAACAAGATAACCAATGTACACTGATCTTATACTACTTCTAAGTTTTGTAAACGTAATGTCTATAAACTTTGCATATTTAATTCAAACATATAATCTAAGACTATGTGTTTTAATTATAATTTTTACAATGTAAATATAATTTATATACTTATCATAATTATATACATTTACAGTATAAAATGCCCACAAAATTTATAGGCCTTTTTAAACCTGAGGTTGGGCAGTTTTGGGAGGAATGAGTTTTGGTACAGTGAGTTAACAGGGCAATTACTTTTACTTTAAAAACATTCAGAATGAACTACTGATACACTTGGATGGATTTCAGGGACATTAATGTTGAGCAAAAATAGCACAATCTTAAAACATACTTTATGAGACCACTGCAAAATAACAAAATTATAGAAATTGAGAACAAATTAATGGCTGCCATGGGTTGGCAGTGGTGGGTGGGGGAGAGAGCAGTATGACATAGTGGGGTAGTGCCAGGGGGACATTTGTGGTGATGACATAGTTCTGTATCTTCATTGTAGTGATGGTTACACAAATCTACAAGTGATAAAATGTGAGAACTATACACATACATTGTACCAATATAAAATTCCTGGCTTTGATAATGTACTATCCTATATAATAAAAGGTAATATGCAAATAGACAGAATGGCAGAACAACTGAACTGGTGCCTATGACGTGCACTAACAACCAGGGGGTGTGCACGGAACATGGAGGGCGTTGGCAGCAGGCAACAGAGCATGGAACATGGCAGGCCTCAGCTGCGGAGGGATGGTGGAGCAGGTGAGTGGGGGCACCAGACCAAGGCAGGGCACTATTGCTGTCATCAGGGGAAGCCTCTGATGGTTACTGAAAATTCTTTGCTCCCGCACGCCGCAGTCCTGCCTGGCGCTTGCACCTGCTGCCAGCCCCGCTCGCACCTGCTGTTGGTGCTGGAGCCGCCACTCGCCCCTGTTGGCACTGGCCCCACTTGCACCAGGGGCGGAATGGTGGAGCAGGGGACCAGGGGCCGCAGATGGAGGAGACAGGTGGGGGATGTGGAGGATGGGCTGAGACCCGCCCCTGAGCCCACCATAGCCTCACGGTCCACAGTTCCTTTCTAGGTGCACGAATTCATGCAGTGGGCCCCTAGTAGTTACATAAGATATAACCATTGGGGGAAAATGGGTGGGGAGTACATAGGTTCTCTGTGTTCTATCTTTACAACTTCCTGTAATTCTTTGTTCCAAAATAAAAACTCAAAAACATGTTCCATGCCCCTCTAGAACCCTCTTCCTTATGATGAAATCATCCCTCCACTGAAGCACATTAAGAAAAAGTTTTGAAAAAAAAAAAAAAAAAGATGGAATGAGAAATCAGTTAACAGAAGAAATGATAAAGTGACCTAAATAAACATTGTAACTGTAGCCCTGACTGGTTTGGCTCAGTGGATAGAGCGTCAGCATGCGGACTGAAGGGCCCCAGGTTCGATTCCGGTCAAGGGCATGTACCTTGGTTCCTGGTCAGAACACATGCCTGGATTGTGGGCTTGATTCCCCAGTAGGGGGTGTGCAAAAGGTAGCAGACATAATCAATGTCATTACAATCCTTTATCTTGGCATTAATGTAACCTTTTTCTTCATTTGATGCTGAATCAAATATTAAAATCCCTTTGTCAATACATTCAGTACATCTACTTAAATAGTCTCCTACTGTAAGCTTCTTCAGGGCTGTGAATGGGTAGGAGAAAACTGAGTATTAATGGCATTTAACTTGGTGACTTCAATAGGACTAGCAACAGAAACTTGATTTGATTTTATTTTTTTAACATATGAAAAGCAGCCCCACTTCAACAGTAGACTCCCACCTGTCAAGTTCAGACTGCTGCCAATGGGTCAGAAATTCCTCCTTAGATCACAGAGCTCTTTCTCTGTAGACTATGAAGACCTAAATGCCTCCACGGAAATTCTGAAGCATTTCTCTTTTTGAAATGCAATACTCCCAGCTAAGTTGTGACCTAGCTTCAGTGACACATTGTCTCCTAGAAGTGATTCAATATTTCTAGTGGTGGTTTTCAGTAGTATTTCTCATTTGAACTTTGTAAAGCTAGCATTACTGTTGGTAGAAAAGAAAGTCTTATTTATGCTAAACTTTTTCTTGCCCTTGATTTGACATAAGAATTTACTAACTTTATCAATTAGATCTAAATGCCCTTTAAAATATACTCTCAAAAATAGCCTTAAAAAAAAAAAGGTTAAAAGTAAAAATTCCCTAATAATCTTAAATACTCTCACCTTACCTAAGCAGTATTGAATTTAAATAGTTTTTACAGGTGTTTTTGCCTACATAGGTTAGACAATTTAATCTATAAACTGGGAAACTTTAGATTGGTAATCAATGACCATTTCTTGAGCTTATCAATTTAAAGAAATACTAAATTGCCTCTTAAATACTACTTTCAAAAGATATGAAGAAAACATTGTTGGTTTTTCAAAATTATTGTTGGATAGTATAAAAAATTAATCTTGGCCAAAACAGGTTCCAGAACACATGATGAACTATTGCCTCATAGACCCTGGACCGACCACCAGGAGGCAGATTATATTAAAGGTAGCTAAGTATCCCCAAAATCGAATTCCAACACTGAAAGGCATACTCAAGTTTCCCTTAGAATTAGCTCAAGTGACTATGATATATCATTTAATATTCTATAAATTCTAATATTTCTGACAATAAGAAATAATTATTTTTGATACAGTTAACTAAGTCGATCTGTTATGTGCTAATACAGGAGTTGCAGGTAGTTAATTTGGACTCTATTAGGAATGTCATTAAATACTCATCCTTTTGCAATCCCACTGTTAACAATTGATTCAACAAGGATTACCAATGGCTGCTAAAACCACTGAGTGAAAGTAGCTAGGAAATAGGATAGACACATTGTCTCAAAGTATTACCCATATACTTCTTACTAATTACAAAGTGAGTAAGGTTCCTTTGCAGAGGAGACATATGGGAACCACTACCATAACCAAGCGTCCAAACTTAGTTGATGGCACCAATATTTGACACCTGACATTATAACTCTTGAGACAATAAGAAATACTTATCACCTATGAAGTATTCTAGCTAAAAATGTTCAATCTGAGTCTGATCATGAGAAAAAATTCAGACAGAAATGTGACAGGTACATTCTACAGATAAAGTAGCTTGGACTCAGTATCATAAAAGACAAAACAGTTAAGGAAACTATTCTCAATTAAGAGAATATAAATACAGCAATCAAACGCAATGCATGACCTTAATTAAATCCTCAATAAAAAATGACAGGCAGGTTTCGGCACCCCCCCCCAAAAAAAGGCAAAACAGTCAGAACTATGACAATCTAAATATGGTGATATTATAGCATTATTAATTTCTTTTTGGAGTGATATTGGTGATTATACAGATGACCTATTTTTAAGAGTTGTAAGCTGAAGGATCCAGTATCATCTGTATGTCTACAACTTCAAGTGGTTCAGTAAAAAAGAAGTAATAGTGTATGTATGTACAAGTTTGCTCCACCTCAATGTGCATATACATAGCTATACATATATCTATATCTAAAGAATATATAAGAAAGCAAGTAAGTATTGAGAAAGAGTATATAAGAAAGCAAGTAAATACTGAGAAAGAGTATATAAGAAAGCAAGTTATAAGAGTATATAAAAAAGTAAATATTGCAAAATATCAACAAATGGTAAATCTATATAAAGGGTATGTGGATGTTTCCTTTACTATTATTTCCATTTTTCTTTATGTTTAAATGTTTTCAAAAAAAACAAAAGTGGGAAGAAAAAGGTCATTAACATTCCCTGAGCACACAGAGGAGGAACACAGTATTATATTGAATAAAAGTCACCTTGTAATTAAATATTCAAAGTATAAATCAAACATACATATAAATTTGTCTATAACTCCAATTCACCATAATTCAAATAGTGCTTTCTTCATTAAAACAAGACCTTTACCAAATTGGTGTGTATTTCTTGGAAAAGATGGTATAAAAGACTGCATAAACTCAATTTAACTACTTAGTAGAAAGAATAAAATAAATTTTTTTTTTCTTGGAGTGGACGGAGCAAGCTCCTATTCCAACTCCCAGCTTCAAAAATACATTTACTGCCGAAACCGGTTTGGCTCAGTGGATAGAGCGTCGGCCTGCGGACTGAAAGGTCCCAGGTTCGATTCCGGTCAAGGGCATGTACCTGGGTTGCGGGCACATCCCCAGTGGGAGATGTGCAGGAGGCAGCTGATCGATGTTTCTCTCTCATCGATGTTTCTAGCTCTCTATCTCTCTCCCTTCCTCTCTGTGAAAAATCAATAAAATATATTTTAAAAAAAAAAATACATTTACTATATTGTCCTCGGATAGAGGATGTATCAGATATTAAACTGATAAGAACAGTACTACACTTGATCTTAGCCAAAAGGCCAAGAAGCAATAGATTTAAGATCATTTCAGGTAACTAGGACATTGGAAGATTTAGAATAATATCTGTCTTTTCTTATATAGTAGGTCAAAAAGACAGTAGAAATCAGACCATATTCAGGTAAAGGACATATAAGGTGATTGATTATCTTACCTCCTAAAGCCTAGAATTAGGGTGCCTCTCAAAGAAGTAAATGAGAAAGGCAATGTATTTGATTCCACTGCAAAAGAAAATTGTCATCATTAAATCTCAGACCAAAGACAAAAACTTAAATTATCAACGTATTTGGAAACACTTTTATACCAATATCTTTTAATACTCATTTTGGAAATTTTATGTTTAAAATGGAAATATTTTCATATATAAATAATTACTAGATATTGCAGTATCATATACTATACTATATTCAATATAATACAATGTAAACTACCCATTTGAAACACTTTTACTTAGTTTTCACGTGTATAAATATAACTAATGAACTTATATTATTTCATATATATGACAATAACTAATCTACTAGCATACTTAGAGTCAGCCTGGTACAAATCCTGAGGCTGCATATTAAATGGGCAGTGTGGCGCTACAAAGGGGCAGAATGTAAATACCTTATGGTACCCCTGATCTTTAAAGACAGTAGATGAGGAGGAAAACTTTTCTGGGAGTGGGATTGGGTTCTATTAAACCATTCACACTTTCCCATTCTATTTTTCACTATGATCAATGACAAGCTTTCATGAGAGAGTAACAACCTGAAGTCATAAAATAGGCCTTTACTTGTCATATAATCTACTTATATGAAAGCTTAATATGCAGTGTCCCCTCAGGAGTTTGACCGACCGGGAGTTTGATCGCTTGCTATGGCGTGCGCTGACCAGGAAGTGGCGTGGAATGAAGGAAGGCCCTGGCTGGCAGCTGGCAGCAGGGGAAGGGAGGCCCCAGCCAGCAGCCGGCAGCCACTACGGACCCTACACATATTTCGTGCACTGGGCCTCTAGTTGATTTATACTGATCTTTCACTTTTCTGAGCATTTGTTTGCTCTACTACTCATTTTGTCTTTTAACAGTCTGCATCCTTGTATGTTTCAGTACTGACATTATAAGTCTTATTGGCCTTGGTATTAGCATCAGACCTTAAGGAGTAAGGGATAGAATCACAGTAGGTATCTCCTAAATGTATTTTCCATGTTACTGCATTAAAATGGTGCCAGGTAAAATAAAAATAAAATAAAATGGTGTCATGTTAACCCTGGCCAGATGCTCAGTGGTTAGAGCATCAGCCCTTGGACTGGAGGGTTGAGGGACCAATTCCTGGTCAAGGGCATGTACCTCAGTTGTGGGGTTTGCTCCCTGCCCCCAGTTGGGGTGCATGCAGGAGGCAACCAGTCAATATGTTTCTCTCACATCAATGTTTCTCTCTCTCTCTCTCTCTCTCTCTCTCTCTCTCTCTCTCTCTCTCTCTAAAAATCAATGGGAAAAATATACTCGGGATATTTATTTTAAAAAAAGTGGTGCCATGTTATAAATAATTGACTTAATCTTTTCAGTAAACATGTAATTTGGGTACTGAATGGTCCAAGATGAATTGAATTATAGAGGAACTCACAGTGGAAGCAAATTCTGAAGACAATTAATAAACACAGTTTAGGTGAAGATTAAGATACTATACCTGGTTAACTTAAAAAAAACCTCATGGGAAAAGTCACAGTACATTGTAACATTATTTGCTCATCTCTCCTAAATGTGAATAAAAATTTAACCCACACACATAAGTAGAAGTGTTTTAGACCACCTGTTATAGCCCTTCACCAAGGAGCATAAGTTTCTCAGGGTTTTTTATACAATACTAGAGGCCCAGTGCACGAATTTTGTGCACAGGTAGGGTCCCTACCAGCTGCTGGCCAGGGCCTCCCTTCCCTGGCTGTTCGCTGGGGCCTCCCTTTGTTCCGTCCCTGGTTGTCAGCACACATCATAGGAAGCGATCTAACTCCCGGTCGGTCGAACTCCCGAGGGGACACTTTGCATATTAGGCTTTTATATATATAGATTTGAAAATCTAAAAATCATTTTTAAAATGATGTTATTTAGTCACTCAAGGAAATAGTCTTTCAACAACCTTTAATTTGCTTGATCAAATTAATTTTTCATGCCTATAAACACAAGTGGGAAAATGTTTCCTACTAGTCCACAAACTCCATCTAGATAAGCCATCCTTGTGATATGGTAACCAAAAGTGCAGACCTGGGAGCTGCCGATAGTGATTACCAGCAATTACAGAACTAACTAATCTCCACAGACCTGCAAATCAATAGAAGAGAGGAGGCACACACAGGCATGAACTGAACTGCTCTAGTCTTAAAGTTCCTGGAATTTCTTTTCTAATTTAATAAATAATCTCTTGAAAATTTATTTTTATACTATTCAAATTAGTATTTTACAGAATATTGTCAAGTTTTTATTCATTAAAAAGGCGAGCAGAAACATCTCAGCAAGTTGAAGGCTGCTGACGAGAAAACATCTAGTTTCCTTAGCAACAAACAAGTCTGAAAAATCAAGGGGTTGACAATGAAGTGGAATGGATGGTATGATAATGAGTAATGGCAGCTCTCATGTATATGCCCAGATTCCTCAGCTAATGTTTCTGTTTTCATCTTGTCACAATGGAAAATCTATATATTATATAGAGTGGAAGGCAAAATCAATGCACGCAGACAGCAGCCAGCATTATTACACAACCTTCAACTCAAATAACTACACCCCTAACAGTCACTAATTTTCATACTGAATATTTTGTCTTTTCTTTACAATATTATGAACTATTTTAAATAACATATACACAGATAATATATACCAATTATCTGGTTTTTACAAAGTTTCCACCTATAAAATTGAATATACATTAATCAGAGCTTAACTTTTAATATTCTAGGGCAGGGGTGGGCAACCCCTGGCACGCATGCCAAACATGGCAAGCCAGTAACTTTTGCTGGCACGCGAAACCCTCTTATAATCTTCCATTTACAATTTTTTTCTTAATATCGACTTTTTCATTTTTCAGATAAATTCAGTGTAGGTGCATCTTAGATAAATAAATAATTTTACATAACAAATTATCTTAAAGACCATAGACATGGATTGACAAGAGATGGGAAGAGCAATTTCTATGCCTCTGCCTTAACTCTCCCTGCGTTCCTAGATCCGACCAGTGTTTTGGTTTCATCCACATACACTTGTGAATCTTTGTTCTCAGTGATGAATTTTGTTAAGTCTCATAATAGGAGTAGCCTGGCGGATGAAAGTAGTAGCTCGCGCATATCTCTGAAGGTCACGAAATATAAACCTGATGTAAAATCTCTGTCATCAGTGATGCAGCAGCAAAAGTCCCACTGATAATATCCAACGGAGTCATAAAGTTTTCTGTCGGACTATCAGTGTACGTGTATACATTAAAAAAATAAATGTATTTTTCATCATCCTATACTGTGTTTTTGTCACTCGAATGAATTTTATTATTTCTTCAAGGTTCTTCACATACGTACACATTAAAAGATATCAAGTAGGCGTAACATGTTGTCAAAAAATTACGGTTGGCATGCAGAAGAATTTTGAGTCAGAGATTTTGCTGGTTTTGGCACGCACTCACAAAAAGGTTGCCCACCCCTGTTCTAGGGGTTAGAAATTAAAGTTTGTGTTTTGTTTTTAAATAATATTTTCTTCACAAGATCTAAAAAACTCCCAAGTAACATCATAAATATGTTAAAAAGTGAAAACGTTAAGAAATGTCCTAATTATTAAAATGTACTATGGTGAAAAGAACAAGGTTGAAGATAGAAAATGTTGGTTCTAGCCAAACTGCTAACTTTGGGCAAGTCATTTAACTTCTCTATGCCTTCCTTTATCTATCAATGGAGGTAATTTTATTAACATGATGAACATTGTAAAGCAACTTTGCATTTAAAAGAATTTAGTAAAAATTTGCTGTGTTTTTGTTACTGAGGACTGGCTTTATGTAACTTACAGCTAAACTAGAAGTTAGTTTAGCAAACAGTTTCAGGCACAGTATCTCATTATGATTTTCACAACTTCCACAAAGTAGATAGATAGGTAATACTGTCCCCATTTCATGAAACTGAAGCAAAGAAAGGTAGAGAGGCTTATTCCAGGTCCCATAAACAAAATCCAAGTCTTCTGGATCCCCAGTTTTACCTACCACCATGTTATCTCTAAGATTCTTTTAACTTCAAAATTACATCCAAATTATCCACAAGATCAAATCATAAGCTGTCTTATCAGTTTGACTTAAACAAAACATAAAAAATTCCTTGCTTTCAAGGAAATTACCTTGAACTACACTGAGGTAGGCATTGAGGGCAATAACTATCCTGTATGCTTTCATTAGTAACTAAAACCACACCTATCAAGTTTACTGCTAATGTTGCATACTTACAAAATGATAAAACATAGTCTAAGTTCCCACTTATTGCTTCACTTCTCAATTCAGCTTGAGAAAATATATTACTGTCAAATGGACATCCATTTTCCTAGGGATAAAGCACATTTCAATATTATGCCTTAGCTAAAAACATTTTGATATGCTATTCAAATTTCCTATTTTCCCATTTATTTATATCACCATATTCTGACAATCCTTCATTTCTAGAATATGTAAATCAAGTAACTGAACTTCAGCAACAGTTCCAACATTACAAATTAAATGCTTATCTTCAAATTTAGATAATTTGTTACCCTTAGAATGCCTTCCTTCTAGGAAAAATTTACTATTGATAGCATTTAGAACAATTCTCTAATTTAAAATAAAATGAAAATTGAATGCACTGATCTAAAATGACATTTGGGACAGTTAGTGAGGTAAAAATAAAATTTAATTTATCTCCAAGTGGTTTTCACTTTTCCTAACATGATCATTTGTTTAATAATTTAAGTACAGAAGCCAAAAATTAGCTCAAATATACTTTCTAAGTCACAGTATAATAGCACAATATTAAAAACCACCCAATCAATAATAAGCAATGAAAAAAAATTAATTATGGTATATCCATACAATAACACAGCATGCAAGCATAAAAAATAATTGGTGGAGTTACACACTATAATGGAAAGGTGCCAAGTTAAAAGAAGGAGATTTA